GGAAAGAAGCTAAGGCACGAGAGATCAAACAGTCAGGGTTCTAGTCACATCTCTGTCACTTATTAAATGTGTGGCATTTGGCAAAATTACTCAGTCCACTATGCTTGCTTTGTATTTTCCCTTTTTATTTTAGGTAGTTAGCTAGTTTTACAAAAATGTATTTAGGTTTATTTACTTTTTTATATATTAATTTCTATATTCATTTGTATTTCCATATCCATTTTGAAATATTCTATTATTCCTGGTGAGAGGAGCAAGGAGAGTATGAGATGCAAAATACTGACCTGTTCTTGACATTAGACTTGATAGATACTGAGGTGGGAGTAGGAGATGAACTGACAGACTTCTGATCTTTTCCATAAAATCTTATGTACTTTCTTGTTCTGTTTTTGCGGGTGAGACTAAGAGGATCATTTATAACTGAGACTCTCAGCTTGTTTTATGTTTGTCTGCCCATCTCTGCTGAGTAAATCCTCTTCCCAATGCTTGTCATGTACTGAGTAGGAAACTGACTCTCCGGGTTGGGGTGTGTTGCAGCACGCTGGTGCTGATGTGGCATGCGGTGGGTTTGGAGTCACGCACGGCCTCACAGGTGCTGAAGACAATACTGTTGATACTGAAAGGAAAGACTGGAGATATGAAGAATGCCCTCACGGAAAGACACTTCTCTCTGGATGATATCAACATGATGCCCTTGGCGGTAAATAATGTGACGAGTGTTTCTTCTCGGTATTGATGCCCTGATAATGGAAAACCCTGTCTTCACACAGCACCTCCATACTTTCCCAAAATGGTCCTCCTTTCATGCATCCATTTATCCGGCACATAGTGGTGGGGGCTCTGTGTTACATTCTGCTCACAGAGCTTCTGTTGTGTAAGAGACACAGACAATGCTCAGACAAGCATGTCTTATGTCAGATGGTATAAATTGATAAGAAATATAGATTGACATGGGCAAAGTGACAGGGAGGAATTAGGTGAGCTAGTCAGGACAGATCACTCTGTTGAGGGGATATCTAATCAGAAACCTGAGTCTGTGAGGGTGTGCTTCTTGCATATATCTGTGAAAGAGAGTTCTAGGGACTAACATAATGTTCACATCACTGGACTCCCATGTAGGCAACCATGGTTCTAGTCCTGGACCTGGTGGCTTAAAACTCATGCTGCGTGTGTGGGCATGCAAGAGAATAGAGGAGAAGAGATTGTGGGATGTCCTCCCCCCTCCCTGTGGAGGATGATTTCTCGCTTTCTTTCAAGGGTGTCTCTCTGTCTCTCTAGCAAGTGCACGTACCCTGTAGCAAAAATCTCTCTCTTAAAAACAAACAAAAAAAGAATTCTAGACAGAGAAAAGGGTCAAGCTCCTGCATGAAGGGCATTCACCTGATTGTCAATGAGCATAAGGAAGTCACAGAGTGTAGTGAGCTGAGAAAGGCAGAAAGTGATGATCTAGCTACCAGCTAGATCATACAGACTTTGACAGGCATAATCTTATCATTCATCATTGCATATCTCCCAAGGACCCAAATAACCATGCCTGGGAGTAAAATCCAGAGCTGTAGTAAAAAATAAATTGCATTGATTCACAAATGTGAGGTGTTGGACTATGTGTTTTTGTTTGTGGATATTGTTGGTGGGCATTATAGTGGTCAGCATGCTGAATGATCTGTTGGATACCTGCCTGCCTCCTCCTAGCCATCTCCCTTTCCTGTAATGCATGAGCACAAGAAAGAACTGGCTTGCTAGGAGACATTATGAAGGGGACCCTGTTGGACTGTATGCCTTTTCTGTGAACCAGCTTGCCTTCTGATGTTTTGGTAGTGGGGGTTATATTACTCTGGGAGCCCCTTACCATAGGAAGCTTGGCATGGTTTCTGGTTCACAATGACATGGTGACTATTACTGAGGAATGAATGGGCATGCATACTTCTGATTTCCTTCCAGGGAAGTGGCAGGAGGATTGCCAGGGCCCTCCTTCCCTTTAGTGAGGTGGTCTGGATTTTGAGGGAAATGGTACATTCTTCACTCTCTTCCTTCCCTGCAGGCATCCCAGGCCTTATGTACCCTGCTGCCCATTGACTCTTACAGGAAAGCAATGATCCACTTCTTCCCCCAACTACTGATGGCCCTCATGTTTCAACACTCCTGTAGCAGCCGGATGAGGCCACTGGAGCAGGACAGTCCTTTGTGAGCAGATGGTGATCACTTCAGATTAAACAAGGGATCAGCACTGAGCAGCAAGCTGTTGCTACTCTCTCAGATTCATGAGGGATTCTTTACAGTTACATGTGTAGCACATTTTCTGTTATGTTTCTCCCTCCTCTCAGGAATAGAATGCCTTCAGAAAAGTACCTAGACATTAGCTAGGGCCTTTCCCAAGTGTGTGTAGTATGGCAAGAACCACAGGACACCAGTTACTCCTGCATTACTCCTTGATCAGTGAGAGGCTACCTAGGGCACAACAGCAGGGCAAGGCCTCAGGTCCAAGCTGGATATAGCCTAGCACTACCATTGCTTAGTCTTAGGGAGTGGCCTAGCATGGATATTGTGTATGTTAAAAAAATAGCTTGCACAAACATGCTCTGTGAACTTGAGGTTTTATGGTTGGAGACTGATATATGGGTTTATGATGACATCCACTCACCTGTCCTCATAGGGAGAGGTTCAGCAATTCCCTTTTGTCCAAGAGAAACTAGTCAGTTCTGCCCTGAAGGGAAGTCTCAACACCACTGTCTATTTCCCTTGGAGCCCTAGCGGGCTTCTAAGTCAGCCTGAGCTCTAAAACACAATCAGGCCCATTATGATGCATAACCCACTCCCTGTCCTGTAATCAGACATATACCAAATCATCCTGAGCGGGTGAGAATAGATCCTATTAATTCATGGCATCCACAGAAGAAAGTCAAGGTCTTTAGCAAGTCATTGCATCATTGAACAGCTTTTCCAAATAAGTGAACAAACTAACAAGCTGTTTTTTGATTAACCCTTGGTCTTAGTGCTTCAGTTTTACTCTGCTACTCAGTGTATGGCTAAACAGACATGATGAAGGCCATTATCAGTCTCCTTCCTTTGGAACATCCCCATTGTTAAACATGTTTCCTGCCCAAAATGAGATGAAAGGCGGGTGCTCTTAGTCTGTGAAGGTCATTGTCAGGTGATGACCTACTCTTCTGTGACCTTAGGTATGCTCGGGATGCCCTGAGAGTTCTACTGAATTGTTCTGGACTGCAACAGGTGGATGCCGCTCTACAGAAAAAGAACTGCTGGGAGCAGTATGGCCAAGTGCAGTATCATCATCACGGGGTCTACCTCATTGCCAAGTAAGAGCAGGAGACTGCTGAGGATGTGTATAGTATTCTCAACTGCACTGAGATGTACATAATGCTGGGTAAAGTCTCTATAATCTAAATGACATATAGTGATTGAATGTATAAATAATAATAATAATAATGGAAAAAAGGTTTTTTAAAAGTGTATTAAAAGAAAAATAGAGCAGGAGACTACCTGTGGGCCTCAGTCTCTGTCCCCTCTTCTCCACTTGCCTGCAGTTAGGCCATGTGGGAACACAGTTGACATTGCTTTGATTTCCAAATCTCTCTTCATGATTTGATTTCTACATCTTCAGTTACTTGAAGGGATTTTTTTATTTGGGGATATGTTCCCCTTTTCTGACCCTCTTGCCTGGTGATCCACAACCCTGATCACCCAACCCTCCAGAGACCTGGTTTCTATTTCAAACCAAGAGAACTAGAGCTGAGTCTTGTTTTTCCCTCTGATGGTAACTGGTCCCTGCTCTGTAGTCATCTGACAGTTTCAGGAAACTCCCACTTTAGAGAGATCTGCACAAAGCCTCTTCCCAATGAGCCATGTAAATCTGGGAAAGGATTTTGTTTTGTTTTGTTTTTGAGAGGTTTTTGCTATAGGGCGCATGTGCTCACCAGAAAGAGACAGAGAGACAGAAAGCAAGAAATCACCCCTAGGGGGATGGCCACACCGCAATCCCTTTTCCTCCATTCTCCTCTCGGGATCTTGGGCACGCCCGCACATATGCCCGGTGTGAGTTGAAGTCACCAGGTCCAGGACTCTAATCGTGGTCGACTACATGGGAGTCCAGCAACATAGCCATTATGACAACTGCTGATCCCTGGGAAAGGATTTTTATAGAAGAGGATTTTTATTTTTTCAATTGAAAAGGTTTGTTTCTAGTTGGCCCTTTAGTGAATAACAAGTTTCTGATTATAGGACTTATATTTTCTGATAAAGAATCAAGATGCAGGGCTCTGATAACATCACAGACCTCTTGAAGCATGAGTAACACAGAAAGTACAATATATATGGTCCATGGGCTCCTGGTGCTTTCAAGGAACACAGCTTATTATAAAAAAGTAGAGTATATCTATATCCTATAAGTGGCCACTAGGTAAGTTTTACTCTAAGGGTATCTAAAAAGTACTTGTGAGGGACCAGCAGTTGGCGTAATGGCTATGTCACTGGACTCCCAGGTAGTCGACCGTAGTTCAAATCCTGGACCTGGTGGCTTAAACTCATGCCAGGCATGTGTGCATGCTTGCCCAAGATCCCGAGAGGAGAATGGAGGAGAAGGGATTGCGGCATGGCCATCCCCCATGGGGAGGGGGTGTGATTTCTTGCCTTCTGTCTCTCTGTCTCTGTCTTTTTGGCAAGTGCATGAATCCTATAGCAAAAATCTCTCCCCCCAAAAAAGTACTTGTGTTGCTTTGTTTTTAAGTCTTTTTTCCCCAAGAGTGAGAGACAGGAGAGACAGAAAAAACCAAGCATCATCAGTAGGTTTTACCCTGTGATTTCCCCCATTATCCACTCATTTGCAATATACCTCCCACTTGCCCAGACAGCAGGATCATGGAAACGTACACGTGGCATGCACGGGCTGACCCCAGAACCAACCCACCCCATGAACTTTCATATGGATCCAGCTCTGCTTCACCAGCATGTAACTGCTGTGCCACCAAGTCAGCCTGCTAAGAAGTCCCCGTGGACCTTCCTACTCAATGTGCAGAGCACAGCAATCACCAGCACCTGGGAGTTCCAGATGCAGAATCTTATGGCCATCCCAGACCTGCTAAATTAGAACTAGCAGTTTAACAAGAACCCCAGATGATTTGTAGAGCAGCCTGGAGTCCTGATTTGCAGACTTTGTCTCATAACCTTCCCAATCCTGCCCTTTCTGGTCTGATCCAAGCAGTATACCAGCACAACTGTGTGCCTAGCCCCTGCACAAGTGTGTTATGGAGAATGACTCAGTGAATCGGGGCTCATTATCTCTTTTCCTGAGTAACTCTCTCCTGTGTTTTTATCATTGGAAGGAAGGGTTTGCTCCAAAACTACAAAGGAACCTGTATGCAGCCATTTTGGATTGAGCACTAGATAGCTATTTTCTTTCTCGTTGGTCCGGGATTGAGGGAGCTTGCACTATAATAGGGCATTCTGTTCTGTGTCAAAAGGTGGGAGAAACAGGACAGAGGAGTGACATTAAGAAAGGGATATTGGCAGTAACCCAAGCATACTCATTCTCCAGAGTCTACAGAATTTATAGTGCAGTTGCACTTTAGATTCTGGAATATTAGAGAGTATGTTTCTTTTTACCTGGGAGGTACAAGAGGATAATGATTCTTTGCCACTATTAGCATTTGCTAATTCAGATTACTATTCTTACAGAACTCTCAGTGATTATAAATTTCAGCAGTTTCCGGAGACCTTGCATTACCTCTACAAGCTTTCAATAGGTGGTCCCAGGACTACTGAGGACAGAGTCATCATCATTATATTCCTCACTGAAGTAAGTCTTGTTGAATGTCCAGAAAAAATAATTAAGCTATATTATTATTATTATTTGCTGTAGGGCATGTGCATTCACCAGAGACAGAGAAAGAGGGGGAAATAGAGAAATCACCTTCCAGAGGGATGGTCACCCTTAATCCCTTCTCCTCCATTTTTCTCTTGGGATTTTGGGCATGCACACATACTGTCTTGGCTGGATTCTTAGGTTGCTGGGTCTGAGACTCATACTCTGCACTGTGTAGTTAGCCTTGTGAGATCTAGTGCCTTAGCCTCCATACCACTTGCTGGCCTTGAAACTATTCTATCTTTAATTAAGCTACTTTCTTGAACTCTCATAGTTATTCTAGTAATTGTTCAGCAATTTTTCTAGCTATATGATTCTGCTGTATGAACAATAATATTGTCACTTCTATTCAAATACTTTTATTTTCCTGTATAATGTGTTTTTCCCTTGGCTTTTAAGTACAATTTATTTTGAATTTTTTCTAGGTTTATTGGGTTATAATTAACAAACAAAAATGTATATATAATATATATATATATGGCATATATATACACAGTGAAATGGTCCCCACAATCACATTTGTTAACATATTTGTCACTCTACTTAGTTACCATTGTGTGTGCATTATGTGTGTGCATATGTGTGTGTGTGCAGGTGTGTATGTGTGTGGTGAAGACATTTAAGAACTTTGAACAATTTTCAAATAAACAATACATTAGAAACTATAGCTACCATGTTGTTCATTAGATCCCCTAAAACGATTTCATCTTATAACTGAGAGTTACTCATCTTCTAACTTTTGACCAACATCTCCAAATTCCCCCCACCCACTAGGTCCTGATCACCACCTTTCTACTCTTTGCTTCAATGGGTTCAAATTTTTGAGATTTCACATGTGAGTGAGATGATAAAGTACTTTTCTTTCAGTACCTTCTAACTGAAGTATCTGGCTGATTTCACTTAGCATTATGTCCTACAGGTTGACTCATTCTGTATGAACACATATAGAGGGTGTTCTTTTTAAAAATTGTATAGTATTCCATTGTGTATATGTGCACTTTTTTTTTTATCCATTCATCCATTGACAGAAACTTGCATTGGTCCTATATCTTGGTTACTGTGACTAGTCCTGCAATGACCATGCGTGAAGATAACTTTCAAAGAACTGATTTTTCTTGCTTGGATTTATACTCAGCAGTGGGATTGCTGAGTCATATGGTAGCTCTATTTTTTAGTTATTTGAAGGGCCCACATACTGTTTTCCAGAGTGATTGTACTAAATTATTACCCTGACAACATTGTGTAAGAGTTCCCATTTCTTCACATCCTTACCATCATATATATTTTTTCTTTTTGTTAAAGCAATTGTAATTGGTGAATGATGTTTCATTGTGGCATTTCATTTTATTTGTATTTCTCTGGTGATTAACAATGTTGAGCATTTCTTCATATACTTGTTGGCCACTTGTATGTCTTTTTTTTTTTTTAGCAAAATGCCTATTCAGATTATTTCCTTTTTATCTTCTTTCTTTTGAGAGAAAGAGCGATACCCTTCATAAAATATGACCATGCCCCTCCCCCAAACCTTCCAGCCTGCCAGGATCATGGGTGCCCCTGACTTATTGCTTCGTCAGCAATAAATCTTCCCTGTTGGTTCACTTTCTATCAAATGCCAGGGTCTTTCCAGGTGTGTTCATGTCAATCCAGGATTCAAATTCAACTAGGTCCTCAAATAGTTCCTATATTGTGCAGTGGTACCTTACTGCCTGGGCAACAATGGCTGATCATTGCCCATTTAAAAAAATGTATTATTTATTATTATTTATACATTAAATTATTATACATCATTTAGTTTGTAAAGAGATTTTACCCAATATGATATACGCTACATAGCAGGCCACGTTGAGAATACTATACACATCATCACCAACAAAAAACAAACCATGTCTGTGTCCCACAAATGACTGACTTCTCTATATATTCCCAAATTACCCTTCCTGCACTCTTCCCCTCTCCAACTCTCCTTCCACTTAGTCTCCATTGTCCATAACAATTTTCAATGTTTTTATATCCCCCAATCTTTCAGTCTCTACTACATATGTAAAGTGGAGATATACAATATCTCTGTTTCATAGCCTGACTTGATTCTGTCAGTGATAACATCTTCCTTGTTTGTCCACTTTCTATCAAATGCCAGGGTCTTGTTTTTTTACGGCTGAATAGTATTTCATGGAGTATATGTGCCACACTGTTTCTGACTGAGCATTCTCCTATACTTTGGGTAGATACCCTGAAGTGGAATTGCTGGATCATATGGTAGTTCTATTTGCAGGTCTTTGAGGAACCTCCATATTGTTTTCCACATTGACTGGACCAATTTACATTCTCACCAATAATATAGGAGAGTTCCCCTTTCGACGCATCTCCTCCAGCATTTACTTTTTTTTTTGAATCTTTTCCATTCTGAATAGGGTTAGGTGTTATCTCATTGTGTTTTTTTTTTTATTATAAAGCTGAATTTATTTATTTATTTATTTACAAATTATACTTTTTAATTTTTATATTTATATATTTATATTTACATATTTTAATACATTCAGTCACATTATTTAGCTTACAAGGTGATCATTTTAATATGTGAACATTTCTCCCAGTTGAGTTGATTAAAATATAACAACACTACCTCCCTGTCTCAACAATGCTGTCTCTGTATCCCTCCTTCAAATGTTTTTCCCCAGGTCCCACTCCTCCACACACACCACATCTGGCATTCACATCCACCTCTTCTGTTTGTACATCCTTTAGCCAATCCGTTTCAGTTATAGAGTGTGAACATTCAGTATATATTAAGTGGGGACATACAGTGACTCTCCTTCAT